ACTCTATACTACTACTTAAGTTTCACAACTTTTGTAGATGCCATTGTGTTTAAAGTTATAACATATGAAATATTAGGCACTGATATACTTTTGCTATTTAAAAGGATTTTTTCAAAGAAAACTGAAAACGTTTTGAATTTGGTTGAAAGTTACAATAATAAACACTAGCACAAAACATCTAAACTCAATTTGTTTAATATCTAAATATGCAACAAAATGTTCACCATAGTTTAACGACACGTTCAATATTTTTTTCTTTCATATTCTTTAATTATAAAAAGCTACAAGAGTTGAAAAGTTTCAAAAAACGTTTAATAAATCGTTTACGGGTAAATTCGATATATCAAAAATTATATTGGATAATTTGACATGTCGATTTATTCAGAAATTGGGTCCTTGAAAATAGTCAGATCTCTTTCCGAGGTCGCCCCTGTAATTTTGGTGGACAGAACTTTTGAAGCCCGCCTTTTTTGACTTCTCGGCTGCCATTTTTCTGCGCTGAGTCAATATCTGACTGAATTTGATGTATTAAATTATTTTTTAACAATTAAGAAAAATAATTTCAGTGATTTTTAGGTTCAATAATGAATAATTCAGTTAGATATGAATTAATAAATGTGGTTGGTAAATGTGATAACTATATTAGTAGTATTAGGCTTTTAGCTAATGACTGGAACATAAAACCACTCATGTCTGATTTGTTTTTAAAGGAGCAATTTTCATTTAAAAAACATTTTCAAAACTAATATAGCAAATATAATTAGGTAGCTATTAATTATTGATACATGAATCAAGCATCATTTGATCAGTCAGGCAGAGAGACAGCCAGAGAGACAGACAGACAGACAGAGAGTCAAACAAAGGTACGGCCATTCAGTCAGCCAGTCAGTAGATCAATCAGTCAGTCAGTCAGTCAGTCACAAGTGATTACATCCAGTAGTAACTGAGGAATCATGGTAATTATGATGAATTATCTCACCGACTACATCTAACAACTGTGACTGTCCACTACATATTTTACAAAATGCAATCCACTTAGAATTTAAGTTTGTAATTCCGAAAAAGCGAGGCAGAAAAATTTGCCCAAATTGCGATAATAACTGTAATTATGTGAACAATTCTACGATCGCCTATCTAATTGAAGTAAAACTTGCAAATATTTCGTCAAGTTTTTAAAAATGCATTTTTCAAAATTAATTTGGTTTTCAAGCTTATTTTTTTATTAAGGTAAATTAAACATGATTATCTTTTAAGTTTTAATTGTAGATACAATGCAATTTCAATTTGAAAATGTTTATACAGAAGTGTAAACGTTTGTTAATGTCAATGTTTTTTTTTTGTTTTTTTTATATTTATATTTTTACATATAGAACAAAATACTAAATACGCCTGTAATTAGTAGAAATGTACTGGTAGTTTATACGCATTTAGACGGGCATTTGTTTGGAGTGCAATACATCAATATTTTTAATGTAAAATTATTTAGCTCGTCGAATGAAAAGGAACGCTAATTCTACTTTATTGCTTCATATTGTCATTCAATCTGCGTACATACATATATACTTCCATACTTCCAAACGTCCATCCATACTTACTGCATACATACATTCACACGCTTAAAATTAGGCACAGAAACGTTTGCGTTGTTCTCCATTGAAATTATTTTTTAGTGAAGTTTGGGCTCAGTTTCAAAGTTTGATACTACTGACGTGTCCGTTAAATGCAGGGTTGGTTATGTGAAACACATGATTGTATTTACAGCATTACAACGCAGTTTTTTTTATGTTACATGCTATAAAATTGTTAGGCTCACTTGTGAAACAAATGCGAGAAAATAAATAAAAAAAGTGAAAACTTACAGAATAAGTAAAAAAAAATATTAATTCAAAAAGTTTTATGCTAAATTTTAATTGTAACGAACTTTTTTAGCGCCCACATTTTCAACCTTTCCCCAGTTTTGGACCTTTTGCCGAGGTCCCCTCTGAACTTTCTGACCTTTGAACTCCTGTTGAAACGAATTGGTCCCAAATTTTTCCGGATCTGTTCTATGCCGCTTTCGTCATCGTCGTCGTCGTCACTGCCGTCGCCTCCGTCTTGCAAAACAGGAATGTCCCGATCGTCGGAGTCAAGTGATGACGTCACATCTTTCGAGTCGGAAGTGACGTCAAAGTCACCATCGAAGTTGACGGCAGCTGAGCATTGCGAGGTGATGGAGAGGAGGAGGAGAGTGGAAAGAATGAGTTTGAAGTTCATTTTGATGCTTGCCAAATTTGACATTGATGCTGATGTGATGATGATGGTGTTATTGTTGTGAATATTATTGGTTTAATGTTATATTTATTGTTGTTTTTGTTTATCACGTTTTGCTCTCGTTTTGTTTTTTTATACCTGTGAGTTTTTCAAACATAGTAATGTATTTTTTAAAAAATCCACAGCAGCGAAAATACAAAGTGAAACAAAAGCATTAATGAAATGCACTTCGTATTTATTTTCCCGAGAAATTGCGTGTGTAACAGAACCTTTTTAACGCAACTGATTAAATTGAATTAATAAAATGAGAAATTTCTGAGATAAATTTAGTAGACAAAATTTTTTGGTAATCCGATACATGATAACATCATCTAAAATCTCCATATAACATTACTATTACAATATTACCGCGACTTCATCAAGCGTGAAAATAATATTTTTCTCTCTAACTCGTTTCTACTGAACTTAAAAATAACAAATTACGAAAGGATTTTGACTTTACTGTAAGAATTTTGACTTAACTATGCAATACAATTACCGAAGGAGGTCCTGTATCGCGTGCCCATCACGTGCCATGTCAGTCACTTTTCTACCTACAGCCACTTTCACTAATCCTCAACCACTTCATCTAATCTTTTTTATGTGGCGGAGACTTCTGAGGTGTTAAATTGAAAGCGTCACTAATCTGTCGTCACGTTAAAATGGTTCCTTGGCCGGCGTTACGATTGAAAATTGTTCTTAAAATTTTGCCTGTTTAGAATTGTATTACTGCTTATATATTTTTTTTATAAAATAGAAATTTAACAGAAAAAATTATTTTTAAAGATGGTTAAATAATAAAGAATTGTCAACGAGTTTTGATGTGATTTGACTGAAAATGAGTTCAAATTTTATGGATAGGTCGATGGAAGTGATTTAAATGAACGTGGCGAATGAATGAATATTAAAAGAATGAAAGATGCGGAAAAAGTGAGAGAGAGAGAGAGAGAGAGAGAGAGAGAGAGAGAGAGAGAGAAAGAAAGAGAAAAAACGAGAAAGGTAGAAAGAAAGAAAGAAAGAAAGAAATTTTCATAAGACGATTACAATCTTTACGTTTGAAGAATTGGATTAGGTAGTCACAAGCCAACAACAACTTGAACGAGCACGAAACTTAACTTAAGTTTCAAGAAATCCACATGTAATTATATACATATATTTAGATACACACACACACACACACACACACACACACACACACACACACACACACACACTACACACATACATACATACACACACATACGCGCACACCAAACGCACAAAAAATATGAGAAGTTAAAACGTTTGGAAATCATAAACAGATTAAAGATAACTCATCTTTAACAACAAAATAAAATATAATAAGCATTACAAAAACGTTAACTGACACTCTTTAACGTACAGGCAAAAATAAGGCACAAATACGAGCACATTTGTTTGAATGTATCACAAAAACTACAAGTTTTCTTATTACAAGGACTAATCGACATTTCATGAAAATATCGGAATAAATAATGAAACACTTGCCTACAACTCAAAAGTTTAATCTAAAACTTTAAGCAAATCAATTTGAAACGTTGATTCGTGAAAATTTTTACGAAACTACAGAAAAATATGTTACAGCTGCAAATAAATACATATTCAGACGAAGAAACACAGACAAACGAACATGCATATAAACGAGCATATACAAAACATATACAAACATATACAAAACACAGACAAACAAACAAGCATATACAAATCAGGATCTACAAACATTATCGAATGGACATTAAAGTCAATTTGAGATTTCTTAAAAGGACGGCGAGGAATTTATTCCATTGTATAGAAGGGAATTTAGTACCCACCGAATTCTCTTATTTCAACGGCATTTTGCTCTATTACCAAATAATAATTTACAGATATTACCACTAAATTAATTAAAAATTTGGATAATAAAACAATATTAAGATAATAGAGCATTGAAATAATTATGATGGCCACAAGACGAAATTATAACATGCACATATAATCAACAACACGACAAAACAAAGTGACGATGAGACCACAACAGCAACAAAACAACAAAAAATGATGAAATCCCTAGAGCAACAAAAACAAAACACGAAGATGACAACAACAACAACCACGTATAACCAACAAGACATCAACAAATTACTTTTGTCTCTAGAGTTGCCTGCTAAGAAAAAAAAAATTGTTTGTCGTTCGGCGCATTTGTCAGACCGAGATAAATTTGCTTAAAATGATTGACGGATAATTGCCAGCGGTAGTCATTTCATTCTCGATCGTTTAACGATTCTTTTTACAAATTGCTCTGACAGCAGTCACAATTCTTAAATTCTTAAGTTCTTTTTTAAACTATGAAAATTTCTAGTTTATTTGTTTGATGACAGTTTGAAACTTCATTCTGTTAATTGTGCTAGAGCGTCGTTGATTTTTTGTAGATATGTACGCTATATGAATAGATCTGAATGATCGAATAAATGAATGATTGAATGATCAGCAATGCAATAAGATGACAATTAACGATAAATTTATTCATTTTTTTTACAAATAACTAACTAGAACTAAAATAATCAGATGAATTTGAAGACTTTAGTCTGAATAGTAGATAATTTTTTCCCACAAGTCACTATATAACGAGTAAAATTATTTAATTATTTCAGAAATAAACTACACGCCGCAGTTAATTTCAGTAATAAATATATATTGGAGTTCAAACAGGCGAGCCAGGCGCACGTAGACACAACAGATGTTCCTCACCTCTGGGATCGTTCTGCCTCTGATGTGTACGAAAATTACTTCGAAACTACTTAAAATTACTTTTTTTGTTAATACTAACCGTTTTCATAATAATATATTGACTATAAATGTTATTTTTAAATATTAAAAACCAAACTGAAGGTGTTATTTATAATAAACTCGGTAACGAATAATAAATTAAAATGAGCGCAATGTCGAATTTGACGCTAAGTTTTTAATTTTTACCATATAATTAAAAATTTTTAAAAATTCTTACTAATTTTAAACAGAATTATTCGAAAAAAAAACTAAAAATGAACGTACAACGAGCAGCACAGAACTTCAGATGAGAAAATTTTCAGAAGTAGCTGATTTCCGAAAGATTTTCACTGCATTTATATCTCGTTCCAACTTATCACATGCGCGCTTAAAAGAAGGCGTTACATAAATAAGTATTGTATGCATATATAGATGTAAATAAATTTTTATATTTGTGTAATTGTGTATATATATTGTCGGAAATTTTAATAAACTAATATGAATGAGGAGATTTTTAAAGGATGACAAAGTCCCACGTTGGGCGCCAATTGTCGGAAATTTTAATAAACTAATATGAATGAGGAGATTTTTAAAGGATGACAAAGCCCCAAGTTGGGCGCTAATTGTCGGAAAATTTATAAAATGAAAACAATTAAAACAGCTGGTGGTGTGAGGTAATCTCCTCCTCTATCTTTCTCAGGAAATTTTTGTATGGTCCGACAATAATTTTTGTGTATATTTTTATCGTGAGTTCGACCAGTCCTGTGTGGCACTGGGCTTTTTCGAATTATATGATTTTACTGAGTAACACACGAACGCGTAAAGAAAAATATTCGATAACAATTTTATTAATCGACGGAAATAAATAAAAGGAATTGAACTAATGAACTCTATAATAATGTAAATGTCAATGAACAAACTGGAATACAGGAATTAGAACTCTTCTTGTTGGGGTCTTCAACTTGGAATATGTTTCTTGGCGTTTTAATCGTACAACTTCGACGTGTGTATCCGATGGTGATGTCGATACAACCCCAAGAAATAAATAAAAAAATGAATAACAAAAATCGGAGCCTATGGAAATTCCAAGCTGCGTGTGAAACCATACCAATGAGTATAGAATCCAGCAAAGAACCCTAGGTCCACAAATAGCACAAGAACAAAACAACGAGGCGGATTCGTTTTCACAGAACCCAAGGCCTGTTTTCACTGGGCCTGTCTGTCAGTCGGTCGGCTTTCGCACAACCCTGGCCTGTTTTCACTGGGCCGTCGAGTCTGATCGGCTTTCGCACGACCAACACAAGACAACAAGAGTCAGAACAACAGTGGAAACAAATTGTGTGACTCTAGTACGCGTGCGAAACTATGCCAATGAGCACAGAGTCTCGTACCAAATCCACTTTTGAGAACTTAAGACGTTTCTGAAACTATGCCAATGAGCATAGAATCACGCGTTAAGTCTCTTAGGGACCAGAAGAGATTTCTGATTATTCGAAGCTGCCTCACTAGTCAACCCAGACTCTTTAACTGGTGAACCCAGTTTTTTTCTTTCTTTTTCACACCCTTCCTTATCAAGGCAAAATTAGATTTTGTTTCGGGTGTTTTAAAATATAAAAATTTACAAGGCATGTCCAATTAATCAGAAAAAGTATTAATTAAATTTTAAAATAATTTGTAATAATTTATGACGTCATCTAAATTGCAAAACAAAGAAAATCGTCATCACCTATCGAGTAAATTAACTTGCACCATGCCCCCTATCGAGTGAATAAATTTCGCGTTGAAAATTTTGCAGTATTTTTAGTCAGTATTATTTCATAATTCTGACACTATAAAATATTGTGATATAAAAAATATATATTTTATATCACAATCGGTCCGCGCCACTAAGAGCCACTCGATGTCAGCTTGAAATTTTTATGGAGATCAGGGTTGACATGAATTGTGAGGCCAGCAATAACTTGGATACATTAATAACGTTAATAGCCGTAAAGAGGAAAGCCATCAGCATTAATATTATCATAATATAAATCATCATCATGGTCATTTATATTATTCTTATTCTTATTATAATTATAATAACAATAAGAATTTTATTATTATTATTCTCTAGATCATCGTAGTTGCTTCCGACATAAACAACAAGACTTACAACAAAGGACAGAGGTTTTATGTATTTTTGTCGATCAAACAAACATCACGAACAAACAAACAAATAAACATTACAAACATCACAAACAAACAAACAAACATTACAAAAAAACAAACAAGCACAGTCCAACAGACACAACAAACACCACAAAATTAACCAAACGAACCACCTCAACAAAATACCACACAAAGATCACAAAAAATACACCCCAACAAACAAACAGATAAAAAAACAAACAAACAGACAAACAAACAAACAAACAGGCAAACAAACAGGCAAACAAACAAACAGACAAACAAAGGCTTTCTTGATAGGATGTTTACAGAGTGCCGACTCAAGCAACACTCGTTCGTCATATCACATTGACGCCTATCTACCATGAAACGGATGCAATTTTTATCTTTATTTATTCTCATTTAAGTATTTATTTATTTTAATGTTTAATGTTTTTGGCTACTAAATCGGTTTTAAATTAATCAAGTAATGAATTAAAAAAAGTATTTTTATAACTCTTTGCCCCATGTTAATTTAATTTTATTTTAAAAACATCTTGCATTCAAAAAAAATCTAAATTTGTATGTAGCTCAGATAAATTACTTTCACCAAAGAGAAGATGATGATGATGACGGTGATAAACATGATGATGACGCAACTGATGACGGTGGAGACGATGATAACAAAAATTAACAGATAAGGGAGAAATGATTATAATGATAATGATGGAAAACGATAAAGATGATGATAATGATGATGGTGAATGTGTTGATGATGGTGAATGTGTTGATGATGGTGGTGGAAGAAGAAGATGATGATGATGATGGTTTTGGTGGTGGTAATGGAAGATTTTTAATTTGAATTCAACAACTGTCTCCTATCTCAGACTTGTCATGTATAAATTTTCTTTTCCATTTGATTAAGATATTGAGTGGGTGGAATGATGACGACGACGACAACGACGATGATGATAGTTAGGAAGAAGAAGAAGAAGAAGAAGATGATGATGGTGATAACGACGACAACAATGACGATTTCAATAAGGTCATTGACAAAAATATTAAAAAAAATTATGAAAATTTTTTCAAATTAAAAAATTTTAACCTTAGGCAAAAATACAAAATGGAATAAAAAGACGAGGTTGCAATATTTGCCGCACGGAGTCGCACAAAGACATGAAACAACAAAAAGCATTGAAACTTCAACCACAACCAGCAAACGCCGGTTATAAAGTACCACAAAAAACATCACAGCAAATACTCCAATGGCAAACACCAGAGCAAGTAGGTCCAAAGCAAATTCTACAGCAAATACCACAAGAAAACTACCACAGCAATTAACGCAATATATATTAGAGAGCAAATACAACAGGAAATACCACAAAAGATGCCATACATAAAAAATATCCCAAAAAATAATAGACACAAACTCAAAGACGTCATCACAAAGAGAAAGAAAAATGGAATGGCATCTGCTAGAAGTTCAGCTCGCCGTACACATGTACCTGCCAATATTTTCAAACCAATCATTCCTAGTTTAATTGTTTCCACATTTTTCAACTTTTAAACTGAAAGTAAAATGTACATTTATTTTTTGGCATTATTTATGGATGTATGTGAATAGTTAATTATTACTTTTGCCTGTCTTAAATTAAGTGATTTACATAAACATACGCATATACGCATACTTAGATACAAAGACAAATACACACGCATACAAACACACACACACACGTATACACACATACAGACAAGCACACAAACAAACAACCACATATGCAATCATTCTTCAGACGAAATAATTATTATACACTTTAACACGCTCACCTACTGTTTTACAACTTGAAAATATTTTGTTAAAATTTTGAGATTTAAAAAAGATGACAACAAGATTCTTTTTTTTTGTCTTTTAATTATTATTTACAAATAGTAGTTTTTGTTGTTATTATTATTATTATTATATCATCTGCAAATATATTTTTATCATTATTATTTTCATTGACCAACTACGAGGCAGTCAGCCTCAATTTAAATTTCGATCAAAACTTGGGAATTGAAATATACAGAAGGCTATACAAAATAAAGAATCTATAATTAATAATCAAAATAATAATAATAATAACAACAACAACAATAATAATAATCTTCATCTTCATAGCCATATATTTTAATTGTGATCAAAGTGGCTAAATAATAATAAAGCACTTTCTACCTTTAAGATATATATTTAAGTGTGTGTGTGCGTGTGTGCATGTGTTTATGTGTGCATGTGTGTATGTGCGTGCGTGCGTGTGTGTTTAAAAGTTTCAAAAAGATTTTGTATGAATTTTAAATAAATGTAAAATAACAAATAATAAATATCATCTGACTTAAATGAAAATGAACAGACAAAACGATATAATTAATTCATGTAGAAGATAAAGATACAAATCCTGCAAGAGAGTTAAACACCACGGCCTACTTTAACGAAGCCTTCAGAAAATCCCGCGAAACGTGTTTCAATACGCTTGGCCGGAGATCTAGAAAGTAAAAATTCAAAGATAACTACAATGAAAAGGGGCCATTTGCTTAGGGACAGTAAGAAATGACGTAATGGGGCTAGATTTAAGAGGTCATGGAGTCTCCCACAAAGAACGGGTCGCTCAATTATGGTAAAAAGTATCCATATTACGACCGATAAGTAATTGAGTAATTGTTAATTTTTTTTCTGGTATAAAAAACCAATTTGAATTAAAAAATGTTTATTAGGAACTTAAACATTAACCCGCACGTTAACAAAAACACGCACGTAAACTTTTCTCTCTCTCACACACACACAGACATACAGACAGACAGAAAGAAAGAGAAAAAGAGACATACAGACAGAGACAGACAGACACACACACACACATAGACACAGGATGAACCAGTTGTAACACATACAACTACCGCGTTTAGCGCACGCACTTTCTTCCGTTAACAAATTAAATAAGAAATTATACGTAAAAATAATAAGGAATACAAGTTTTTAAATGAAAAATTATTTTTATGAAATTTTGAAAAACACTTTTTTTTTAAAAGAAATTACGTCGAATTTGTTTTGATAAAAAATGGATGTAATTATAAAATTTTCACCTGTCTTTTGCATTAGTATTAATATATCAATTTTTATCACAAGAAAATTACTCTTAAAAA